TCTTCTTCTTCTTCTTCTTCTTCTTCTTCTTCTTCTTCTTCTTCTTCTTCTTCTTCTTCTTCTTCTTCTTTGCCTGTTTTCACATTGTTTTCGCTCTCTTCATTTCGTCTCTTTTTCTTCTTTTCACCCTCCTTTTCTTCATCCTCCTAATCCCATGTGCAGTATGGAACTGATGCTCACACACACACACACACACACACACACACACACACACACACACACACACACACACACAAAAAGCACTGCAACCTCCTCCCCACAAAATTGCATCCACATCCACAGCTAAATTGTATTCTTCTTCGCCCCCCCCCCTTTTTCCCCTTCCAAAAAAAAAAACAACAACACAAAAACTGCATCCTCCTTTGTGCATATAGAGTCCACAACACACACACACACACACACACACACACACACACACACACACACACACACACACTGCGCATAGAAAAATTGCACAGCACACAAAATTGAAAACTGCACTGCAAATGAAATGCCAAATTATAAAACTATGCCTTCTGCCACCCCTCAAAATATTAGACTATCCCGTGACCTGTGAATTTCCCCTGTTTGTGGTCAGCTAATAAGAACGAACCTAAGTTTTCCTTCTGTCTATCTGTCTGTCTCGCTCTGGCTCGTGTTTCGTTTTGTAATTATGTGAATTTTTGTTGTTGTTGCTACTATTCTTTGGGTCACCTGCCCGTCAGTTTTGTCTGTTAATCCATCTCTACACCACACGATGCTCTCATTATCCCCCAGACTGGTTGGAAACGATACCTAGTCGCGAATTGTATTCCCGCGAAGATCAAAATTATAAGGAAGCTTTAAAATTGACGATAGCTCCCTTGCCACCTGACCTCCAAGGAAAAGGAGTCTAGGATGTGGAGGATGGAGGAGCGAACGAGGTTGCGTAGACATTCTTCTGACCACTATGTTAAGAAGATGATAGGACATTGAAGGAACATCCTACAGTTCTCGCGCGTGCTGCAGATGGCGGTCTGGGGGATCGACGTGTCGCCGTATCGATCTGGAATAATGTTCTCAGTAACGAACTACAGGCTGAGCGGATAGCGGCGGGAAAGAGCTGCGTGTTTGCGTGCAAAAGTTCTGTTGGATCTTCAGATTTCCCCTGCTCTCTATCTTTGGTGGCCAAGGGCTGGCTGAAGAAAGGATTCACACGGCATATTTGTTTTTCTGCTCGTAGATGAGGTTACTTTATAATTCCTTTTACCGTCTGTGTTGACCGTTTAGTCGACTTTGTGATTCGATAGTGTTTTTTTTTTTTAAATGGCTTTGACGCGATGCTGGTTTTATTTTTATGTAATATAAATTAAAAGCTTTAACACAAGAACATAGGCAGAAGAGAGTGTGTTATATTCGTAGCCTTTTCTTCCTTCGGGATATCTTTGCTGTCTGCGACCACAGAATTTGGGTATTGATTTTTTTCTCCTGGTCCTTGTCTCTGTGGATTTCGGTTGGGGGGATTGTTCGTGGTGTGCCAGACTGCTTGACCGCGTCAGTCAGCGCAGAGACATACTTCTAGCACATTTCTTTGTTCTCAGAACAGTGCCGGGGAGATTTTTACTGCTATAGTACTGTGTTTCTTTTAAGTATACTTCAACCGTGCTCTGTTTCTTTTAAGTATACTTCAACAGTGGTGTGTTTCCTTTAAGTATACTCAACTGTGCTGTGTTTCTTTTAAGTATACTCAACCGTGCTCTGTTTCTTTTAAGTATACTTCAACCGTGGTGTGTTTCCTTTAAGTATACTCAACTGTGTTGTGTTTCTTTTAAGCGTACTTATGCAGTCTTGTGTGTTTTGTAGCATATACTACTACATAATTGTATTTTAAAATCATATTACCATATTTCTGTGTTTTTCCCCTCAAAGCATATGCTACTTCCTAACTGTTTTTAAAGAGTACTACTGCAGTAATATTTATTTAGCGTACTACGCTTTTAAAACATAAACTAATGAGTAATACTATATACTTCTCGTCCTTTTTTGTATGCAATTTTTTTTTTTTTTTTAAGCCCTACTCTGGCTTTTGCCAGGGGCCGCAATATAGCCTGGCCATAAATATGGCATAAAGGCTAAACGCGGTTTCTTGGATCTCTCTTGGGTGATCCTCACCCACATGGTGGCATATTGTGTCATCGGATGTTTATCGCTTGTGTGATGTCCTGGTGGGGCAGAAAGTCAGTCAGTCATAAACTAATGAGTAATTGTACTTTTTAAGCGCGCTACTTCTGTGCTGTGTTTTCAAAACATAAACTAATGAGTAGTTGTAGTTTTTAAGCATACTACTACACTTCTGTGTTTTTGAAACATAAATACATAACTGTACTTTGTAAGCTCAATACTATAGTACTCTGTTTTTTAAGCATAAACTAATACCTAACCATTTTTAAAGCATTTCCCGGCTCTCTAGCGAAGTTGGTTAAACCTGACTTTCGCGGCGGCCGGCTGACGAACTCCTTGTGGTCCGGGTTCACTCCCGGGGGTAGGCAGAAAAGCCACATTTCTCCCATATTAACGGTACCTATAATTGAATCAAGGCCGAAGGGTTGCGATATCCATAGTACCGAGCCAAAGGGTTTACAACTCATGGTTTCTGGATACGTTAAAAAAAAAAAAAAAAAGCATTGTATACATAACTGTCATCACGAGAAGCTGGTTAAGAATCAACAGACAGGTACTGATTTGGCAAGCAAATGAACTGAGGAAAGTAAATTGTTCAGGAGGAGGCCTAAGACTGACGTTGCTACTTTTATTTTAGTTCACCCCATCTCGGGGACTTCAAGACCCTATTGAGAGTTCCTGGGCAAGTCCAAGTCTAATATTGTAGGGGTGGTAGTTAGGGTTAGTGTTAGTCGGTGTTTATTTCACACCCTATAACCTCTATACGGTTGGACTTTTCCGGAAGCTCCCCACGAATTCTCGGATTCCCAGAGATAGGAAAATGCGCAGCGACTAAGAAAAGTTTGGAAATCACTGCACTAAGCACATCAGACAGACTTAACGGCAGAGCACTGCTTTTCTTATCCCTCCGCTTCTGCGTGTTGGTGTTATCTTTCCCTTGAAAAGCAGGCCGGGAGAGGGATCATACAGCATAGACAACACATCGTCTCTACCGTACTGCCCAGACTTTGTGGGGGAGATGAGGAATTTTATCCCTGACCCTAATTCGTGTTGTCCCTGGCTTTGATTCTCATGCCTTCTCACAGAACACTTCAACCTACCTTCTGGAAAGACGGAAAAATGACAAGAAAACTCAAACACAAACTGTGTCCAGGATGGTCAATGAGTGAGCGGAAATCCTTACCAAGGATTGTCGGTTCTTTCGCAACAATTCACCACAGATGACGTCACAGGGACAGTCCAATGTTTTATAGGTGGTAGGGTCGGGTTTTCCGGCTTTCTGATGCTTCTAACTACCCCGGATCAGATAGAGCTGGACCTAACCCCAACCCACCTATTCCCCACGAGAGAGTGCAGCCTATGTCCCACGACTGCATGCAGCCTAGGTCCTACGACTATATGCATCCTATCTCCCACCTCCTTGAAAAATTGGACAGTCTAGGGTGAATGAACACGAAACCACCTGATTGCCATCTTGTGGATGTGAGCCGTGGACTTTTACTCAATCATTGAAAAAGAGAAAACAGGAGCTTTTGAACTGAAATGCTACAGAAAATTTCTGAGAATACCATGGGTCAAGAAGAAGAAGAAAAACACCGATTTCCCACTTGATCTGAGCATGGAGGAGAACTGGCTCATAAACAGCATCCTGTCACGAAAGCTAAGGTATTTTAGTTGTGTTAAACCATGTCATGATGGCCTTGAGAGACTTGTGATGAAAGGCAGTTTCCGGAAAACGATATAGAGGCAGACCTCCACGAAGATGGTCACAAGAAATTGAAGATGCATGGCTATGAAAGCACATAGGGCTGGAGATATGGCTAGACTGATAGCTGGACAATCACAGTTTGCACACTCATCCACCGCACAGCTACAAGGAAACCAAAACAGCGCTAAAGCAGTCTTTCAAGCGGGAGTGGAGAAGGCAGAATGGAGATTACAGACCAGAAAGTGACAGCATAAACAAACTCAACAGGAAAGAACAAACATCAATTTTTAAACTCGGACAGGACACTATGGCCTTCGAGCACACATGTACAGGATAGGCATAAAAGAATCTGCTGCCTGTGATTGTCGAGCAGAAAGACAGACCCCTGAGCACATACTGCAATACTGCCCTTACCTCTCCCAGCAAAGACTGTGGATCTGGCCCAAGGGAGCCACATTGCAAGAGAAGCTATGGGGGACCGGTGGCGACCTTAAACGCACAATCCTGTTTGTGACCCACATGGGACTCAATGTTTAGCATGACTGATGTCAAACGCAGAAGAAGAACAGTTTGCACACGAGTCATCCTGTACTTTCGCCGTTATCCGAGAAGGTCACGTATCCTATCTTATTAGACACATACACACACGCACGCACGCGCGCGCGCACACACACACACACACACACAATATCAATAGGAAATGTTCTTGTATCAATTTATTGACTTTGGGTCAACTGTGGTTGCAGCAGAAAGGCCCGACTCCTTTGGGAATTGAATTCGATTACAGTACCCGATGGCCAGTGCTCTGTCCACAATGGCAACCATCCCACTGTAAAATAGTTGCACGTTTAAAAGCAAATCTGGCATAAAATCGATCTAGTCCTGTCTGCCGGCTGTGGTGTATTGTAAAATCCGTATCATTATGTTGCTGAAAGTCCAAGGTCTGGAAAAGGGTCATTTACCTTAATATTGGAATGAATTAGACGTTTATTTTCGCCTTTCTAGAACCTACAATGTGGCATGAACACGCTGACAGATAAACTGACTCTCAGTACTGTGTGCATGATTGTGATTAGTGGGAACTTCTCAACCATTGATTAGTGAGTCCAGCGTTGGAGGGATTCTGTGAGGTTTTAGTAACCAAATCTTCATGATGATGAAGATGATAGTGAAAGGGAGCCTGCATCCCATAGCTGCACTGCCGCGACTACGTCAGGAGCATGTTCCTCCTATGACTGGAGTTATTCTAGCAAAGGTGATTGTCTGTGGATGTACTACATCACATTACGTTGTTGATGTTGTTGTTGATTTTGTTGTTTGTGATGTCAGTTGTCGGTTATGTTTCTCTCTCTCTCTCTCTCTCTCTCTCTCTCTCTCTCTCTCTCTCTCTCTCTCTCTCTCTCTCTCTCTCTCTCTCTGGAGATGAAGTAAGCCGTCGATGCTGTCTTGCTAGTTGGGGTTGAATTTTCAGAAAGGGGGAGGGGGGGGGGGGGGGGGGGAGGGGTTTTAAATTATAATTTTATAAATTGTTCTGACAACATCAAGTCGATAATATGAAAATCAAACTAACGGAAACATACAAGTATCTGGGCGCAAACTTCAACTGCTCCAGCATGCTGAGAGAAGAAATACAATCTACAATACAGTGTTAAAATAAAGTATACTATACCCTTCAACATCTGCTAAAGTCAAAGTGTCTGTCTCCAAAACCAAGATCAAAAAATAAAACGTTGATAAGACCAGTCGTTTGATATGTTTCTGAAACTTGGAGCACAACTGAAAGAAATAAAGGTTTAAAACAGGTTTTCGAAAACAGAGTATTACTCGAAAACAGAGAATTACTCAAAAGCAGAGTATTACAACGAATCTTTGGACCCATCAAATATGCAAACAGCAGGGAATGAAGAGTGAGAAGCAACAACGAAATTCACAATCTGTTTAAATCACCATTGAAAACTGCATTAGCTAATAGACTAAAATGATTGAGAGAATGTCAAATTACATATACACAAGGAAGATGAATGGTCGTAGACCACGAGGCAGATCAAGAAGATGATAGAGAGATATTGTCCAGACAGACATGAAAACACTTGGTGTCACCAACTGGAAATAAAAGACCAACCAGAGAGATTGAATAGATGCGGGTGATAACTGCAGCAGTGAACCTCAAGAGCTCGGAATGCTAAAGAAGAAGAAGTTCTGCCAATACTGCCCATATTTACCAGTTTTGCGGTGTAAAAATCGAGTTGGGGGGGGGGGGGCGGGGCTGAGGATATATAACCGCATGTTTAGATCTGTCGCCACGAACTGTGCAGGTTATGATTCTTTTTTAGCCCCTGACAAGGAATAAAATATCAGCTGTTTTACCGATGATTCAAATTCAAACCCAGGTCTCCCGCTTGAGAGCCCGGCAATCTAAGTGTTCGACCAGCCGCTTCGTTACGTGTACCGACTGTAAACCGTAGCAAAAAGCTATGGTTGTTCGTCCACTTCTGGCAAAAACAACGCCTGTCATGTAAATGACCGTACCTCTTGATTTCACTCATAAGTATAATGTGTTGATTTTTTTATGTTTGGTCATAACATGTTGAAAAAATCTGGCTTCCTCAAAGGGTCACTTAAACTGTGAATATTGCCACTTTGATTGTAATTAATTCACAATCTTTCGTCAAGGTCGATTTCTTCATTTCACATGTCTCCTGTTAAACCTGAAATAACCGACAGAGTTCAAAGCAAAGACAGGATCATCAGTGAAATCACAAAGTACTTATAATTAACAGTACTGGAGCTGAGTTTGTTTCAAGTTAAATGCATTCGAAACCAAATTCCTGAAGAAACCGATGTACATTAAATGTTATGAATTGAAAAAATGTAAAGAAATAAGAGCAGTTCATGGACAACGGTTGTTATTAGCAGTTATAAGAACAAGACGACGATGTTATATTGGACATTTTGTGAGAAAAAGCAAACAGAGAACCTACAAGGACATTATATGGATTGAGAAAACGAGGATTGGAGAAATAAATCCTACAACGGACTTCGAAGAGAGAGGTCACAGTTGCTGGGCTAAATTTCATGTGTGAATGAAAGGATTTCAAGTTTCTGCACAACTAGTCAATGCAATTAAACATGTACACATAATGGAAGAAAGCACATGCGCATTGTAAATATGATTAGAAGCACCTCAAATGGCCATAAAAGCTTGCAGTCGTTAGAGAGACAACACAGCAGTGGCGTGATGATGTTAATTATTTCCATCGAAGCTGCTTTGATCATAAACGGAGCGTGCCGGAAAATTATTTGACTTTGTATAATAATTTAATATTCGAATAATCCGGTCGATGATTATTTTGTGGAAAGTTTTAGCGGAACTCTGAGGAATTATGGGATAACAGTATGCGTAGCTGCATAGACACTAAACCTGACTCCGTGTGAGGTTACACAACGGTGACATAATCCATATCCTGCTATCTGAAGATTTTACACCCTGAGATTGACAATCAGCTTGGATGAAGCCTAACATGGCAAATCCCAGAAACCTCCTCTAGCTTCCAAAGAAATTATAATTATATAGTGTTACCACAATGCTTTGAGTTGCAAAACAGAACATTTCACTATTTTTTTTAAATCTGAAAACGGGACATTCTCTGAACATTTCAAGCAAGTCAGTTTAACACTATCCTCCCCCTTTTCCCTAGGTCCCCCGGCTGAAAGGGTCAATTACTTCTTCGGCACTGGTACTATTAAAACCTGAACCATTGTCGCTAAAAAATCAACGAAACAATATGCTCCTCAGCTGCACTCAGGGGAAAAAGAAAAAACATGCTACAGACAATTTCCACGAACACTTTTCGGCCATCAAAAGTACCTAAAACTATAAAATTTAAAAAGGTCTACAGATGTAACTATAGGTGTATGTTAAATTCTGAAACTCATTTCTAGATTTTCATAAAACAGCCGAACAGCGCGGATTGGAAGGTCGTAGATTCGCTCCCTGGCGGAACCGTTTTTTTTCCCCCTGTAAAAAATGACCTTGGCTCCCATGTCGACCCAGCCTTGAATGGGTACCGGGTGCAGTCCCGGTAAGTAAAGGCGGCCGGCGTGATGCTGACCACATCACCCATCTTGTGCCGATTGGTCTATAAAATATAGGTCTAGCCCTATATGCCCTATACAGCTAAAGGGTGTAAAAGGGTCCTTAAACAGCTGCAGCAGTCTTATATACCACGCACATCTGTGTTGGACGTCTGATAATGTTGACATAATAGTACAGATAGTAGTGACAGAAAGAGCTGGTCTGTTTTTATTAGGGAGAAAGGGGGGGGGGGGGAGTAATGGCTTTATCTCCCAAATAGACCCAGCTTTAAATGGGTAACAGGTACAGTCCTGGGAAGTAAAGGCGGCCGGCGTGATGTTGGCCACATTACCCGTTGAGTGCCGATTGGTCAGTTTAATATAGGTCTAGTACGCTTGAAGGTGTGGAAAAAGGTCCTTTACTTTACCAATCACAGACATCTGAAGCTTAGGCGATGCCAACCTGTTTTGTGATCTCGAGGAACCCGGTTCTATTAAAGCTTGCTGACAGTTTGGCAGCAGATCGCCTTGCGTTAATTTCGACAATGGTATCACGAGCCGACCGTTTGCAAGAAACTATTAGATGCAAAATTGCCTCCTAAAACCAATTAGCCCAGAAATTCTGGGGTTAGATCTGTTAAAGACACACAACTAACTTTAATCAGAGGCAAAGTGTTGCCACTTTTCTTTGGCAAAAAACATCCACAATGGAGTCAAAAATATCTAAATTTGCGTGGAACACATCTAGAAAAAACATCCAAATGGAAAGAGTCACAAATTACATAGCAATTGATATGACTTATCCTATAGAATCATGTCCTCATCTTCACTGATGTTTGCCTCACAAATGACTCTGGTATGCTTTAGCTGTTCCAGTTTCTTCTAATACCCAATCAGGGAGCTGATAAGTGGAACAGTCTTTTCCTACTCTTATCAGGCCGAATTTTATTGTCAATATAGCATTTAAGAGGTCAAATTTCATCCTGTTTGTTAGGTTAGATTTGATAAATTCACTCCCAATGAAAAACTTCTAGAAAAACATCTACCATCTAAACGTCAAAAATGCCATCTAAAAGCATGGAAAACCATCTAAATCTGGATGTAAAACATCCAAAGTGGCAACACTGGGCGCGACACAGACTATATTGGAGGTGTTCAGAAAGAAAGGGGGGGGGGGGTTCAAGAGGCCTATTTATATTATATTTGAGGGGGTCTTCATGTACCTGCTACCCAGGTTCCGCCATCTTGCAGCAAGTCTCTTTTTTGCAGAATGTCAGTACTCTTTGCTAAAGCGGTTCTCAACCTGTGGGTCGCTACCCCTTTAGGGGTCGAACGACCATTTCACAAGGGTCGCCTAAGACTATCGGAAAACACATATTCACTGAAGTTATGAAGTAGCAACGAAAATAATTTTATGGTTGGAGGAACGGTATTAAAGGGTCACGGCATTGGGTAGGTTGAGAACCACTGCTATAATATATATTTGTTTCCCCCGGTGTATGAGTCAGTCAGTACCCGGGAATATACTTCCCACCGACTTAATTGACTCCCCAAGAGTTCCCCTCGCACATAACATCCCTGTACAAAATCTGCCAGTCCTAGCTCCACTGGAACATAAACACCGTGCTCATCCTCACAAGCCGACATTCTCTTAGTATGTGTAGGTGTGCTCCCTCGCGCTCCGGCGTGTGTGCTCCCGCGCGCTCATTTGTGTGCTCCCGTTTGGTATCGTCTTATCTTATTTGCCACAGTCAGAACCAATGCGTGCGTGCGTGCGTGTTTTGGTGGTTTTGTTCCCTGTAACTTCGCAGTTCCCCTCCCCCCCTCCCCCCCCCCCCCCCGCTTCAAACTGCTTACGGCAGTAACGAGAAGAAATGGATGGCCGCCGATGCCTTCAGAATGTGCTGCGTTTTATTAGTGTCAACTCTTGCCCACCAGGCCCCGCACTAGGTCTGCCAAAGATGGGTTTTTAACCCCCAGATTTTTTTTTTTTTGACGCCTTGGATTCAGATTTTGAAATCTGTGTTTTTTTTTTTTTTTAAACATCCTTTAAAAAAAAGTGGGTAAATGTTGCGTTCCGTAACTATAAAATTTGTACTTTTAAAAAATCTGGGTTTTTAAATATTTTGTTTTGTTTTGTTCTTTGCTTAAGCATTGCTTGGGTTTTTGTTCAGCTTAGCT